TATATATATATAATAATTTTAAGGTAAAAATCCAGAGCAGAAGCGGGGTGTGGTGGATTCTGTACGAGCTTTCATTTCGGAAGAATTTCAGTTCAGATTCAGACATCTGGAGATGTTGCAATCAGAAGAAGCGGACCTGAACTTGCCGATTTTGAGCGAAAAATGTCAATCATCAGAGATCAATGGAACTGATTCGAATGTGACTCTGGAGTCGGCGAAAACTCGTAAACGATCTGGAAATGCTATCGATCAAGGAAAAAGCGGACAGCAGACTCGTTCATCAACTCGTAAACGTTCTCAGAAACGTATCAGCTCACCGTCACCTGAATTACAGCGTTCCCAATCTGTAAGAAGCCGACGATCCTCCAGATCGTCACGCTTCTCCAGAACTAATCGAGAATCAAGGATCATCGCGCACGATGAATCCCAAACACCTGCCTATTCTTATTCGTCGCCTCATAATAATAGTACTGATCAGTTTGTGTCACCGAGTTCTTCTTTTGAACTGAGCCACAACGGAAAAAAATCTGTGCATGTGATGGCCGGTGATTCTGTTATGCCAGATCCTTCTAGTTCAGAATCGGTCGTGGCGTCAAATCGCGAAACTACGGCTGCTCCGACAAGAAGACAGTCACAAAAGCGGATTTTGGTTAGTCGCCTGATTCTATCATTTGTCGCGGATGCTTTCTTCAAAGCTTGGAATGAATAAATAATTCACTTGATGAACGTATATCTAGGTTTTTTATGGCAAGGTGGAGGGCAATCCAAACACAAGAGGTTTATTTTCAACATTATTGTGGCTTCATCACACCAGTTGCTGCATATCTTAGAGACACCCAATATTCGATAAGCTGTCAGCGCAGTAGCTAGTTTTGGAAAATAGTTGTTGGAAGAAACTTTTGAAATGTAATTGTTGCTTGCAGCATAGAGCAGTTGTAAACTCATTTCGTTTTTCATATCTCTTTTGGACTTGTCCATAGTGGGTAAGTTACTCTCCGTGTTGTTGTTTAACTGATAGTTAGTTTAATTGTATGGTTTTTATTTAATTGATAGCTTTTGTCCGATTACATTGTGACATAGAGTTTTAACGTGGTCCGATTTGCTTCACATAACAACATTGAGATGATTTAAGAACGGGAGTGTTCAGCAGTCGAAGCGAAGGGTCAGCGTTGCATCATCGCCAAAGAAACGCCGAAATTCATCGACCAGTAACATTCAGGATCAAGTCCGGGAAGCTAGCGAATCGGCTGTTCATAAAATCTTACAAATGTTAAGCACTGAAGGTATGTGGACTTCGGACAGTCAGGTTCAGTTGTCTAAACGGTGTGAGTCTTTGCAGAACTTATTTGCGTTGAGAATGAGAACTCATCCTCATACAAGTTCGGATGTGTTTATTTGAAACGTTTCTTTTTCTGTTATTCATCATGTGAACTAAACAAGTGATTACAATGTACCAAAAACATGGTCAGGATTCTTCTAGAACGAAACAGATATGTTTATAATCCTGAGAGGAGTGACATTTGTGGGATATAATCTATATGATCAGTGTACTTGTGATATGTTCATTATCGCTTGAAAGTAACGAGTGATTGTCGAGAAGTAAGAATTGCAGGCAAGGTTGACAGATCAGTGACGAGTGAGAAGAGTGCTGTTGTTCAGTTGAAAACAGGCATTATTTCACCTCAAGGAGCTCATGATACGAGCAATGAATATGAGGTTAGCATTATTGGTCGTAATGCACGCATTCATGATATTTCAGCATATTGAATTCCTTTAGTGTTGAGTTATAAATGTTTTGCGATCGTTATTTTCTTTCTTAATTTTTCGTGTTTTTGAGTAATAAACTAAATTCGTTATTAAGTTGGAGAAACGAGTGAGTGAATTGTTGAGTGTGATAAGCAAGTTGGAAGAAGCGAAACGAGATTGTGAAACGGAGCTGAGATCGGCGATCAGGCAGCTGAGTAATGCTAAAGCTGAAATTAAACGTTTGAATGATCTCAATGCTGAACTCAGTAAACAAGAAGTTGGTATCATTCAGTTCATTCGCTTCCATACTAGAGCTGGTAACTGACACTTCTTTTCGGTGGTCACCGATCGAATACTTTTTCAGTTGCCACCGGTAGAGCAAACTTCGAGGGTCACTCAATTAATCACCAAGCCAACTTTGTTCAGTATTATTATTCAGTCACTCCTCTAAAATTTCAACAAGCAAAAAGGTCAAGCTTGTGGTTAAGTTTTCGATTGCGAATGATAGATTTAGTCTGAAAATTGCTCTACGAAAACTGCACTTACGACCCATTGTTGTTGAAAATCGCTTTCATTCAGTGTTCGCAGCCTTTGTTATCGTTCTCGTCGAAGATTGATTCAAATTCGTAGTCAGATTAGTTCTCAACTGGTGCTTTCCTTTAAAAAATTTTCAGCTATATTTCATCAGTCAGAGTTAGTTGGGATTTATGATTGTTTGATGAAGACAGAACTAGATGACTACCAAAGTTAGAAATGACGACTGAAATGATTGATGGATTTATCTGATTGTGATCTTCCGATGTAGTCTGCTTTAGGTAGCAATAAAACGTAACGGTGAATATACGGATGAGCTAAAAGCATGTTTATGCCATTTGAAGAAGGCTGGTGTACCGGACACGAAATGTGGCGAAGTGATCATATCAGTTGGTGTGCTTCTGGGCCGCAGAGTTGTTGCAGATGATAGCAATGATTAACGTCTGTTATCATCCAATTTGTGCGGAACTTTTGCAAGATGAGTATGACTGCTGATCAATTCGTATAGATAATACTACTCTTATTAAAATTATTGTCTTCGCTATCATGATCGCTGCAGTTATTCCTTGTCAATAATTAGCGTCTGTTTCCTTCATGCTGTCCTGCATCATCTTTATACCAGTTTTGTGCATGAACGAACTTATTCCACTACACATAGCCCCATCGTTTTTATCTCAGAACGCAAATATTCTCTGTCTATTCCGTTGTCTTGAATGTGGGTCAACAGTGGTTCCAATTTATACTTGTTGTTGAAAGGGTGCAACGGTGCAGTAATCTGATAAGTAACGATGAACTGACTTTACTTGTAGAGAAAACGGAGAGGAAATGAAAACTGTCAGAAATGAATGTATCTCATGGTCAGTTGTTCCTTTTCGATAGCGTCGGGTGTGTGGGCCTCAAGGAATTTTCATTCATTTTATCGCTACTATTCATTCTCAAGGCCGTGCGTCACGACAAGCTCACTAGAAAAGATCTCAGTTTTTTACCCATAATTTTTATCTACCTCTTACTGGTTCGGTATCTTATCTGTACATCTCGTTTAGATTTGCGTTCGGTTTGCATTATCGCCTTCAGGTATCGAATTATATAAATAAAGGAAACTCGAGCCAGTTCTAAGGATAATTTGCTGTTTATTCTTTGCAGTGTTCTGTTTGAATAATTATTTGGCAGATGATCATGTGATGTACTTATGAAAACGTTTTGAAAGTTATGAATCTTGAAATTGATTTCGTTTTCACTGAGTCAGTAAAGTATTTTGTGTTTATTATCCTTCTGCTTTGTACACTTAATCCAACGCTCTGAATATTTCACTGTTTCAAATGTATCTTAAAATCGTTGTCTATTTTTTCTGATTACATCATGTCGTATTATGATAAGTTTATCTTGCTACCACTGAACATCTCATTGTTTTAGTTTGCTACTGAACATTTTAGATAAGTTCCGTCTGTGGTTTATCATGTGCATCGTCCATCGTGGCTAGTGCGAAAAGCCGGTATAAGTAGACGATGTGGATTGGGAGTAGAGAGTACGTAAACAGATTTGTTTTGATCCTACAGGGGGGGGGGGTGTAATTTGATCATGCCGGGCTTTGAGGATCCGACCAATCAGCTCAGAGAGCACGCGTTCGATTCCGCGTCGGTAAAATCTTTGCTGAATTTCGATGTCGTTGTTAGAAAAATTTAAAAAAATGAAGAAGCTTAGTTTTAAAATTATCATATAGTTTTGTTGATATTTCATTTGTTGGTAGGGTTTTTTATCGTTTGTTTCAAGTTGTTGTTGGTTTTGGTGATTCTAGAAATATTTGCATGTTTATAAATGTTTGCAAAATTTCATGGTATCGTTAAATGTCCAAGAAGATGTAGGGGTGGGTCTCATTTGATTTGGTCGTTATTGTTAATGTTATCAGTACGTCATTTTCGAAATGCTTGTGAAGACTCCAGTGTATCTGCGTTCGTATTTGGATTTCTATTTTATTTGATGTTCTTGTGTGTGCTCTAATCTTTATTTTTACCTTTCACTCGATTTCTCATCTTACGATTAATTCTACTTTATTTCTATTGTGTCTTGTTGTTGGCTCATGCGTTGAACTTGGATCGGAAGAATTTTTATATGTGTTACTGCGATTGTTACTGTTACTGTACGTATTGTTACTATAGATGATGTCATTGTCACTATGCTACACCATGCAGGAAGCACTTATTGTTAGAGAACGACGCTTCTCTAATAATTTTGCGTTGGGTGCACAAGAAATGAAATGATTTTGATTCGCAAGCAAACTAGCGGATATTTCGGAAATTCATCCCTTTTTCCAAACAATGACAGCAATGCCTGGATCAGTGTTTATATTCTTGTTTAGTCGCTCTATCTGAAGTATTCCTCGAAGGATCAATTTGAGGAATGCATTACTTGTCATTCTCGTTCAATTTCTCGAGTAAAATTTATTTCATGAGATTTTGGCGTTGAACATTTACTACGTGAGCGTATCAAACGCTTGACATTGCTCGTATTTGCTCTATTCGCAATTCGATGCATAATCCCTAACGCATATGTTGGGCTGGCATTGTAACTTATGCTGGTTGCAAATTCAGTGACTACTGGATCGTACGCGCAGAAGTGAAACGTATTAAATGAATATGAAAATTATTCGGCGAATTGCTTCACCGAATGTAACCCTGGATGGTTTGCTTCAAGAGTCTTTCCAACTTACGGTTCGTTTTTTTTTNTTTTTTTTTGTCTCTGTTTCTGGCCTTTTATTTTAAATTTCGCTTATTGCGCTTTCCATCGAAAGCTACTTCCAGGAAGATCTGTCACCTCAAAGTAGTAGAAATTCTCATGCTGTTGAGCAGCTCACGTCGCCTAGGAAACTGCACGAGAAGTCCCGACGAAGGAACCATTTTGGTATCAGCAAAGAAGAATTGTAAATATTCGCTATCATTTTTTATTCATTACTTCAGCAGGAACACAATGAGCGATATCTGAAACATTTCACATTTTCTATCACATTGCGATGGAGAATAGCTTGAATATAAGCAACCGTTCCGGCTGATCAAGTTCTAAAGATGGTTCAAACGCCTAATTGTGGACTCATTTTTTCCTTTTGAATATTGTAGAGAGGCTGATGAACTGGAGAATGTCAACTGGAAAACGCACAGCAACGTGCTCGAAGGTGACTATCAATCGGTGATGCCATTTAAAGAGGTGATTTGGCGAGAACAAATGATTGATTTGGAATCGCAGCTAAACGAACAAGCCGAACGTTTGCAGCAAATTCGGTTGAATTATGACGCGGAATTCACGGCGAAGTTCAATGAACATTTGAAGAGTTGTCTCGAAGCAAAGGTTTCTCCTTACGAAGACTGTTCCTGTCGCCCACTTGCTGTACACTTTCATGAGCATGCTCTGTTTCGGTTAATTTTATTCAATGAACGATCGAGTGAATGTGATCTGCAAAAAGAAAAAACTCCATGTCATTTACCCTTTTTTAAACTTATTGTGAATTTTATAACATAATTCTTGAGCACTGAGTTGCTGATATCACTAGTTATGCTGATGTTCCACGTTCACAGTCAGTTCAGATTGACTTGGATTTTTTAGCACATGACGCAACTAACTGCTCCATCCGTGACACTATCATCTCCGATTGAATCGAGAGCACAACCGCAGTTTCTCGTTCCTTCAGCTCTACAAACGTTTGTTGATTCTTCCGAAGAACAATCAAAATTTCCTTTTGATCTTCTTCGAGCATCCATTTAAAAAATTCAAGGATTCAGTTTCATGAAAAAGCTTTCTGTTCGAATTTGCGAGCGTTCGAGATGCTCGTGAATTAATTTCCTCTATCAATGCTTGTGAGAATCACCAACTCAGGGATCTTCTTCATTATTTATGTGAATTGATCAATATATTGTTTGAAACTACGGTTACGGTTTCCGGCTCCAGTACAACAATTAATACGAAAATTGTTAAGGTGGTCTCTCTTCAAAATATTTGTCCCCTAGAGTTGAATGATGCATTTTGACTGTTTTCAGAAGCAGTTTCGTGAGCAGGACATCTTTTATCAGTCACGCTGCTGACGACTTCAATGAACCAGCGAAGAGTTACATCGTGAACCATTCTCTTCTTTCTCAGCCACCCGTGTCGAGCAGTCCAGACCGCAATGCACAACAAAATACTTCTTCACAGTCATTCTTCAGTTTCAAGCAATTAAGTTCTACCCCGAAACACGATAGCAGTGTCACTACTCAACAGCACTCGCAACATCAGAAGATGTTCTCAGGAGAATGTCAACAATCGCATTTGATTGGCAACTACCAAAATGTGCCAAAATCCGTTTTGTTCTCATCACTGCAGCAACAACGAGTACAACCACAACAGTTCAATGAAAGCGCGACGTTGTGTGATCAGTCGATGAATCGATCATCACAAATGATTAAGAACGATACTATTTTATCTTCGACTGTGAACTATGAAACATCGCCGATCGTTTTTGAGTCCACGCATCCAGCATTGTCAAGAACTGATTCGGGAGCTGCTTCGACCAGTGATGCTCTTCCCGCTGCATCTCACTCCACGCCATTCGTTCATGAACAATGTATCACTGAATTTATCGATACCACCGAAGTTTCGCGAAAAGACAGCCTAGCGTCACCTTCAGTGGAGAACACCATGAATGAAGAACGGATTATTAGCGAACAAATCAATCAGGTCGAAGGTGATTTTTCTGATTTCGTTTTCTCGTGATGTTAGTGTGAGCGTAGCTATTCTTTTATTGGAATGTAAACGCGGTGTAATTGATTCACTGCGGTAGCCCACTTCAGAATTTTTTCACGTTTATCTACCAAATCAAGATTCGTTATGTTTCGTGACTTCATGCTGATGATGTTTCTAAATCTCATTCAACTTATTTCTGCTTCTTTTTATTCATTTCATTATTTCAGTTTTGGATGGGAAATCATCTAGTATGGAATTACCTTCCACATCATTGAATCGTCCATCGATATTTGAGAATTGGTTCGAGCTAACGAAGCAGTTCGAAGCGAGTATACAAGACTTCAACAAATCATCGAATGTTTGTTGTTTTCGTCTTATTCCCGTAGCTTTTTGTCCCGTAAACTTTCGAGAGCTTATGTGTGTTGTGTCAATTCGTTTAAATTTTATTCCTCAAATTTAAGAGTTTCCGTTTGGGGACCTAACGAACAGATGTTTGAAAAATTTGTGTTCACTCTAAAGTTTCACCCACAAATAGAATCTTAATCTCGAATTGAGTTTTTCAAGTTGTTTTTAGAATGATTTGCGCTCAGACTTGAAATATACAATCAAGGAAAGGACAGCCGTATGGACAAAGAAATACGCTACAGAGGATGAAATTCAAAGAGCGGCTCGCTTTTTCATCGATCTCCTATCGGGAATCACCGTTTTTGGTTTCAAAGACAAACGTATCAATTTAAAAGGCGAAGGCTTGGCTCAGCAGTGGGCTATCGCTTATATTATTCAAGCTTATATTGTATGATTTCTGTATTTTATTCAAATCATTCATGATCAGTCAAATCATTTTCTGTAAACTGTATGTTTTTCATGCCTCCAGCACATCTCATCTGGACATTTTGGTGGTATTCATTGTCTACTGCTAATTTATAAGTTACATAAAACAGACGGTACGCACCTGAATTAAAAAATAATAATGCTCCGTATATTATCAACCAGTAGAGGTGAGTCTCACACGGTTATTGATCATTTCAGAATCTAGTGATACAAGATTCGAGTTTAGTTGACGTTGTGGCTGCAATCCTATCACGAATAGCGTCCAACTGCGAGTCATTCAAATCATTTCTATCGGCGAAGCTCTGCACTTCATCGTTAATTCTCTCGATGGACTTCTCGAAATGGTGTGTCATTACAGTTCCAACAAAAATTCCATATTGCTAACGAATAATGGAACCTGGTTCAGTGTTTTGCGTAGGTCACGGAAGTAAAATTCATTTATGCGGATGGATTTTATGCAAGTTCTATTTGAATTTTTTCCACTAATACAAATATACATTGATACTGTTCAATGATGAACTGCTCGTCAGTAGGGAGCAAGAAGGCCATATTCTGCGGTTGTTTTTCGTGCAGGTAACGGAACTCCGTTTTTCATGAAATCATCTGCTTTTATTAATTTCCGAACGAAATTGCCGTGAAAATTAAGTAAATGTGAATTTGGGAGAGTGGCAACTCCAGGGTGGGGAAACTTTACTAATAAATCATTGTAAGCACATAAGTGCTTGAATCATGGAACAACTCAATCACCTTGAAATTATTGCATCAAATGCAAACTTTTAATAATATGCTTAATTAGCTACATTCCTCCCTCGTTAATCTGTACTTTATGTATACCATACAGTAGATGAACATCGCATGTGGTTATGAAATGAATCATCACTTCCATTTCCGATGTTTTCTGATTTAAGTTCTGATATTCATATACCAGTATGAAAGTCAATTTTAATCGAAAGTGTTATCTGACGATGAGTATAATTTTGCAAATTTTGGTGCTGTCAGGTTGATGCTGTTCGTTGCAACTGTTTTGAATATCGGTTACACTCTTAAAAACAAATTTTTAGTGCCGAAAAAGTGGTTGAATTGAGTCAACAGTCGGCGAATGCGAGTGAGGCGACTTCTGCTTGGGGCAATCGGGAAAATACTTTGATACGGTTATTTGCGGCTGTTCATTCAGCAGCGTGCTTGGAGCATGCCGGACCACAACTGAATGAAGAAAGTGGTACCAGAAACGGTGTTCCTCTGCTCTGGATGATAACCGCTATTGCACTCAAACAGTCATCATCACTTGCGGTGGCACTCATTGCTTCATTATTAACGGTATTTGTCAGTCTAATAGTGATGCGCAGATGACTTCATTGTTTAACGGATCCTAGAGCCGTATATTCATCGTGTCTTCATTTCAAATACTTCCCATTCTGGAACGATATTCGGATCATATTTATTTGCAGCAAAGTGGCTGGTTACTGCGTGAGGTTTACAAGAAGCAATTTGATAAAATATTAGCGGTGATCGGTGAAAAGCTGATTCCGCAATGGGATCGAACCCTGAAAAATTCATCGCATGATGTGGTGAACAGTTTCCAACGAATGTGGCTTGCAACGCTGAAGGATTCTTATGAAAGGGGCCAGTTCTTGAAGAAACGAGACATTTGAATTTCATAGAATCTTTTTCAACTTATGTGCTCTTCTAAATTTCAGTTCCTTCTACGCATGTCTCTTTCACGTTTATGAATGAATAATTCTAAAGAATGTTGTAAAAAATTTATTCCCAAGATATCAGATTGAAATAATGTGAACCAATTTATATAAAAGCTTGGAAGGTGACAGAACATTACTGTATGTATATGGCTTATCATATTGATTATCTAACATTGTTCACAAGAGCGTTGTTGATTGTTTCATTAATTCGCTTGTACAGGTTGTATGAACTTGACGTTGATTGTATTGAATTTTATATCTGATTGTATATGATACTGATAATGAGGTGTTAAATTGTCATCGAATTACTTTCACGGCTCAATGTTCTAATTGTGGGCGTAATTCAGTGACACCTTATTTGGGAGAATATCAGTGAAAATTGATGCGGCCTCGAAATTTTGAGAACCTCAGATCGAGTTTATGTTGAAGTTTATTTGAGCGCACAAAAAGATGCAAGGGTTGAAATGTTGAGAAGTGACCGACCTTTTACAAATATTTGAGAGCGACTTTTCTGTGCTGAATGATCGCTATGGGTTTACGTTTTATCATTTTGCATATTCTCATTTGAAACGTGTTCACATTCGCAATCGTTATGATTCTGGTATTTTCCAATTAAACGAAATTGTACTTTTGGAAATACGTTGCACTTTTTCGGTATTAAAGCGTAGGTATCGCCGCAACGCTATTTCAGAGGTCATTGCTAAATTTATGGGATTTGGTTGAATGTGTAATATATAAAGAGGAATTTGGGTTCGATTCAGATTCAGCTACGTTTGATTGGTTGGTGGCCAGCACTCAGTTTTAAAAACTGGCCTTGTCAGAGTTATCAATAGAGTAGTGCAGCCGGGCGATATTACTGCCATCGAACGTGGGAAAATCTTGACCCAGAGAAGCAGTTCAATTTTAAAATGAAGCTGATGACTCATAACTTCTTAACATCAAAATTTCTGAAAGGCGTAACGAATGGTTACCCACTGCTGCTTGCTGCTACCAAGAAAGAGGTTCGTTTAAAAATGAAGAGAGTTCCGATTTTTCATTGAAAACGACAACGAGGAATGTGTAGTATTCACATCTGGTATCCATGTATTGAAATGATTCAGATGAAATTCGAATAATTTTTAGAAGGAATCATTGCTAGAATTATAGTATAAATTTGATTGCGTAGGAGTCGGAAGAAGTTAAATAATTTCAGATCAAACAAGTAGAGTTTAGCGATACTTTCGTAAAACGAATGATACCAAAACTGGACTACCCGGTATTAAGACAGGCGGCTGAGAGCATTGACGAAGCAGAGGGGCTTCCAGTAGAAATCGCAAATGGCTGGGAACATGATGAATCACTTCTTAAGAGGGTATTTCTTTATTCACTGATTAATCGAAATTGTTTTGAAAATTCTGTTTACTCGTTATCAAGACCAGTATACTGTTCTTCAGTGTATAGGTATAATTGAATCGAAAATCCATTGCCAGTTATTTTTTATGCCCATACTAATTGAAATTGTTCCGACTTCGTAAATTTATCGGAAAGTGACGTGATATTGTTTGGTATTAATAAGTTGATGGAAGATGTATTCCTATGTTGGATAATTTCCTTAAAACCTTCTGTAATCGCATAATGTTGATTCGTAATCAAATAAATTGGTCGTTTTGCTTCAGCTACATCATGTCTTGCTATCAGTCGAAGTAATCGAAGGCGAACTCAAATGTCCCGAAACTGGACGCATTTTCCCGATTCGTGAGGGTATTCCGAATATGCTCGTGAATGAGGATGAAGTGGATTGAAGGAACGCTCTAAGCTATTTGCAGTCATTAAAATCTTACAGTGTCCATTACTCCTTTCTCCTGTAACTTCAACATCCACGAAATGATGTGAAAGGAATTATTGATATTTTTGCATGCATTATTTTTAGTTTGAACCAGTGTGTTGCGGGGATCAGGGACTGTGCCCTCGATTCCCTATTCCTGGTCATTTTCGAGCCGACTCTGAAATCTCATCCCCGACTTTCTCGGTCTCCACAACACACTAGTTTGAACAACGTGATTCATTGTTGTTGTTATTGTTGGTTGATTTCATATTACCATTTGAATTTTAACGGAAATTAAACATTGCGCGGTATTGCTTCGTGTACTGTTTTTTAGAACATTCCTGTTGCGAGTGCGAAGAACGTTAGCTCCCAATCACGTTTTTGGCCAGAGTTATGGCATTTTCCAAATTTATATCATCGAAACGTTTTCCGACTCGAGGAGAAATGTGAGTCTTCGCAGGGTGTACAGGGGATCAAAATCTAATTGTGATCAGTGATGTCTAAGCTTAGAATCCGAAAAAATTTTTTCGAATCATTAAGATGTCGCACAACATTCAGCAGACGATACTAAGACGAGTACGGTTCTTTTATCGGATCGGGATTGCTCCGGAGACCAGCAGAGGAAATTTCGGAGCAAAAATCAGAGTCGAACTTTTCAAGAATGGGTAACCAGAGCTGGAGTTGGAGTAGAAATTTCGGAAATTAGTGGTTGGAACTGGAGACAAAGTTGACGAATAAGGTATGAGAAAATGCGATTTACTGAGAGTGCAACAATTTGAGAATATAAACGAAAAACCTCATCTCAAATGCCTGGATGCAAATGTTCGCCTCAGAAAGCTCCATTGAGATAGTTGCGTCATTCTTTTCGCATTTTCAACGGTTTGTTCGAGGATATAAACAATTAGCGCTTATTGTTAGTAAGCATTTTAAAAACTATTCATCGCAGACATCAAGAACAGTGAATATTTGGAAGAAGACAGTGCAGTACGTTGGGTCCGATTCTATTCACTAGAGCTGACAACAAATATTATAATTAAAAACACGAATCGTAAAACTTCTGAAAATTCTCTTAAAAACAAACGTTTCCACGAGTAGTTAATAGTATGATCACAGTTTGAAGCAACACAGATGTGCTCATTAAAAATGAACAGGAATAAAGCATAAACACACAATAAATTATGCCAAATAAAAACAATCACACAGATGAGTTCTTTTTCGAACAGAACGAAGGTTCCATTCATAAATATTATGAATCTCACAGGACTGAATCCGAAATTGCATTTCTGATAGCAAGTAAAGTGCAAAGGCACTTGACAGTGTCAGCAATTTCAGTCAGTACACTACATAAATGTTCCCATAAATGTTATCGTAAGTTTGCAGAGGATGCCGATGTTTCGGATGAGGGATGCATTGCATTGAGTTGTTTCAACGCCTCTTTCATATATTCACCATTCCTTAGCGCGTAATTGAGCTTCGTCTCTTCCGTCTTCGTTCTTTCATAATCTAATTCGTGTTTGAAGAACTCTATTGTTTGAAGCAGACCATCGCGCATGGAAACCTTAAATGATAATTTCTTGACGAACATATGGCTCATTGCTGATTTTTTGCACATTTCAAATCATTTGCCATCAAAACGAAAGAGAGTGATAGGTTAATGATATATATCAAAATGCTACATGAGTTATTACCTTCGGTTTCCAACCGAATAAATTCGCCGCCCTTGTAATGTCTGGTTTTCGTTGTTTTGGATCATCCTGCTGTGCATCTTTTTTGACGATTGGTGAGTCACTCCCTGACAACAAATCATTTTCTCTAATTTTCCGAATGAAAACTATTGTATAATCGCAGCTCAGGACAGGCTAACAGATTTAGTGAAAAGCGAGAATCATTCGAGTGACAAGTAATAATGTTCTCAGAAGAACCATATCTAAACACAAAGTTCTGAAAAGATAAACTCGCAGTCAACAATGCATGTCTTCACATCTCGATTACCTATAATAAAATACAACAGATACGGTTAAGCGTTAGAGTGATATTATCACTTCGGGATACTTACCAACAAGGTCCCTAATAATGTAAGCGAATTCAAGGATTGTATGTTCTTCAGGATTGCCTATGTTCACCGGCAACGTTGTATTGCTGTTCATTAACGCGATTAAACCTTCAACGAGGTCATTCACATATTGGAACGAACGTGTTTGACTTCCATCGCCGTAGATCTGGAATCATCCAGAATTTGACATTCACGGTCATTTGTGTCCATCACTGACGTTCGAACGGATCTACTTATATTCGCGATCAGCATTAGTTGATTTTATATTGATGGTAGAAGGCATAAGCTGTTATGCTGACAATTTTGGGGAATGGTTCTTCAATGAATCACTCGAGCTATTCATACCGTGATCGGCTGTCCTTGAAGTGACTGCAGTATGAAATTACTAACAACTCGTCCATCGTTCATATGCATCCGTGGACCGAACGTATTGAATATCCGTGCGATTCGAATATCAACTTGTTCCTTAATCATTAGAATATTCTGTTCAGCCAATATCCAGCAACAGTAAACCTCTTTAAAATTTCAAGTGAATTGCCAATATAGAGAGGATCCTTAAAGCACTGTTATCCGAGAATTATGGCGTTAAGTACTAACCTGCTTGTGATAGGCAACCATCAACGATTCTGCTACACGTTTTCCTTCGTCGTAGCATGATCTGGGACCAACTGTATTCACGTGTCCCCAATATGTTTCTGGTTGAGGATGTACCTCGGGATCACCATAGATTTCGGATGTGGATGCTAACAGGATTCGTGCCTTTACACGCCTGAAATTTTAATTTGCATAAAATCTGATGTTCCTTGAATTCATAGTGAGAACTCATTAACTCCTTTCTGCATTATCTTTGGTGGCAGTAGATAACGCCTAGATGGCTTGTATGCAAATAATTCAATGACCTTGCTAAACCGAGCATATTGATTGTGCCAACTGTATTTGTTTTGATTGTTTTTACCGGATTGTACATGTAATGCGGAGGTGATGCCGGCGACGCCAGGTGATAGATTTGATCGACTGAAATTGGTAATTCTCATGTGAAATCTCGAATTTCAGGAAATGATGGAGCCGTTTATTGCTGTCAATAGAATTCATGTTCAACTGAATAATAGTGGCAAAGCAACCTTCGGTGAAATAACTATTCACAACGTCGTGATGTACAAGTTCAAAGTTTGGATGTCCAATCCAGTGTTGAACATTACGTCTCCTACCAGTGAAGTAATTGTCAAGAGCAATCACTTCGTGGCCTTCGAGCATCAGGTGATCCACTAAATGAGATCCCACGAAACCAGCACCTCCTCAAATTATTTCATTTATTTCAGATAGGTAAGACGAAGTCTAATACATTCAAATGTTTATATTTTTGAGGAGACACTGATTCGCGTTTCACTAATACGGCACGTCGTTTGAAGACAAAGAAACACATGTCAAAAACAACCTATCAATTTCAAGTTAATTCGCTTTACATCTGCAAAAGAATCAGTTCAAAATACCTGTTATGAGAATTCTCTTTCTGTTACCTTCGTTTCTGAATTTTACGGGTGGATATTTTTGTACTGAGTTAGCCGATCCATCAGACTGTCTGTAGATGGAACAAGTTTCAGTTTCATGATGAGAAAAGAATAAGTAACAGTCACTTTTGTGGTCACTCAAAATGACAATTTGATTCATTGTTCTAATAGAAAATGATGTCCTAAAACGATGAATACCATGTATAACAAATTAAATAGTATTCATAAGAAATTTCATCGGAATGTAAAACAAGATCAGCATCTTACAATGTGTTGCTGGCTTTCGCTCCAATTTGAGCCTTCAACTGAGATAGTTCTAGCTCCAACTGTGAAATTCTCCGTTCCGTTCTATAAATAAATGGATCAAACAACGAACTACCACCAAATGAAACAAGGATTAATTCTGATCTTTGCGGTTCCACGCGAGACACTATTCAAAGAATGCATCGCTCCTAGAAATCTATCCCATTGAACGACAAATTCATCACCTATTCCCTACAACTCTGTAATTCCATTGTTAAACGAGAGGAACAACAATCGAAAATTGTAGATCATTTAAATATCACTGATCACTAATACTAATCAAATCGCCCGTATAGTGAATTATATTTTAATCTATTTATTATCATTGCAAGCTGTATAGCCGCTTGTATAAATTGAAAGAAGTTTGAATTTCAGAATGAAAAACCGTTCTGATCACTTATCACTTTTGATCAGATCTCATTTTTCAGAAACCGGTTCAACAACTCATACCAATTATTTTTCATATTACTAGACAATTAAGAATTAAGAAAAAGTGGAACTACAAAATACGTCCACAAAATACGCGATTCAATTAACGTAACAACAGTGAGATTAACGCCACAAGATTCGAAGACATCTCAGCTGACGATGACAACCTGTTGTTACCGAAGTTTCAATCAGTTATCACCTTTGATGTGATCTCATTTTTCAGAAACCGGTTCAGCAGGACATACCAATTAAGGAGAAAGCGCTCAATCAAAAAACTTACATGAAAATAAAACGATAAAAATTATTTGAGAATAAGTTTAGATTTGAAGGTTCCTGTGAACAAAAAATAAAAACATTGATAGGTGAAAGGCATGGAATATTCCATGACAAAATTTGCCCGAAAATCACAGTTCAGAGGAGTTGAGCAAAATGAGAACAATTTTGTAAATGTCGCAATTCTCCAAGCAAATCATATGATTCTCGCATTCTTTCATCGAAAATTTCATTGCAGATTGAGAAGTAATTTCGGTAAGATCACATTTCCAGAAGGTTAACGGAAGCAAATCAGATTTCCAGTAGACTGACGAGAGCAAATAAGACACCGAAAAGAACTGAATGCAGATTTCGCGCATAAACGATGCACTGTTTTTTCCAAGTTCATTGAAAAACGGCAAAAATAACAGCAAAAAGAAACTCTTCATTTGACGAATTCATTTGTCGATGCGCAGATGCGGTTGTCGATTTATCGATATAATTCACTTCATCCAATGAAACTGTCCTACTGTTAGTCCGCAATAACACTGAAAGGTACAAATGCTGAAGCAAAGGAATACATCACCATCCTTCGATAATTAGAAGTTAAATATCTGAAAAGGTGAACTATAACTCATTTCATATCTTCATCACAACTCTCCTGACTTGAATCTCTGAGGCATTAAAAATTTGCATAAAGCGATAAAACGGCAGAAGCATAACTGATTCAGCGAACCGTTCAAGTGCAAAGAGTTATCGTAGAGTGTTGTTTGAGTATTATAACTACCGTTAAAATCGTCATAAATGCTGGTATTAATATTCAACGAACTATGTAAAATAAATGACGCTCGACAAGGCGATGCCATATCACCAAATTATATTCACAGTAACATTAACCCATGTGATGCACAGTGAATGAATGACTAGTTAATCGACTTACTGATTGCACAAAACTAGCTTATCGATTTACTGATTGAGTATTGTTTGTGCAAAATGCATCGAAACACTAGCAAATCATGACAATATCACACCGAAAAGAGAAGGAATCGGTCTTTGCATGAACTGAACTAAGAGGGGAAAGAAAAATACTTTCTTATCAGAAGGTACTTCTAAATTTGACGAAGAAATGGGTAATTGTGCATGAGTTCATATTAAGCCCAACAACTGAATACAACTGACATCGGATCTCACAAATCCGATCCGAAATTTTCGATCGGAGGCCTTCGCAAAAATTCTTGCTGTTCCCAATACCAGCTTACACCGCTTTCATTATTTAAGCAGTTGAAAAAAGACGAAAACATGGGCTTTTGGTGGCAGAAAATCTGGACCTGATAGAGGAATTAGATATCAAATCTGAAATCAACATCATCACTTCAGTAAGAACCGGCAGCTCACTGAAGAAGAAACTGAAATCTGTTGCCTTGTGTAATCGCCGAGTACCAGGTTCATTAATCAATAGCAATGACTCAAATAGTATTTGTTATCATAGTAAATGCAAATAGGATTTGTTATCATAGTAATTCACTTGAAAATGCAAACAACTCACATGAAACAATGACGAGAAATGCAATCAGCATTGAGATACAACAAAAGAAGCCATATCGATAACACAAATTCCGTTGCATTGTGAGCATCCAATCGCTATAATGCTTAAAATGACCAAGTCACGGGACATGCATCAAACTTTCACAGGTAACCAATCAGCTGCAATCAGCAACTGATATACATTCGCTCTGTGATGGAAATGTTGAACTACGAAGTCCAAATAAATCATATCCGAATCATTATGGACATTACTCAATTGCAAGACAACCTCGCAAGGTGACAACTTGTAAGCATGCAACAAGGCGATCTTATGCAATCAATCCCTCGTTATTTCAACGAAAAAATCAGTGCCTTGTTTATATTTCAATCGCAAAATCAAACCTCAACAAAACTATTCTACTTCCTTAAATGCCTGATCAAGATGCAATAACAACTGAAGATGTCCAGAAAACGAAACTATTAAAAAGAAATAGCAGAATAAAAAACGATAATGACTCAAATAAGAATGTTTTCGGGCATGCCTATAGCGAAAAAATCAAAGAAATGATTCGTCAATGATAAGTCCTCTGAGTGAGTGTTCCAATTTCATCGAAAACATCAATATAATAACAGAGCGTCATTCCATCAGCATCTTTCTTCCGTTCATCTATTGGTCGTTAATGTTGATTTTCTTTGTTTTAGTTTTGCTTTCGTTCAAATCTCACTTCAAATGAATTTCGATTCAAATTTCAGTGATTGTTGAGAACATTTCATGAGACATCGATTCATCTCAATGATAGATTCAACATAATGATTTCCGTTAAGGTTCATCTGTTCTTACCGACAGCATTTACGAGCACATCCGCAGGATCGCTTCGACGGCTTTTAAACCAAACACACTCTTCTCTTAGAGAGCAAATGCACACACGCACACAAACTGTTAAGCACTAACTAACCTGTCTGAAATATCTTCTTATCATGTAACGGTACATCGCACAAATTTCCAACTATACGAGAAATGATATGAATTACCTAGTGGTTAATACCTGAAATTAGATCAAGTCATATAGAATATCCGTATGGATGATAACAGAATAGTTTTCGAAGAAACAATTGATGTACTAGCGTGAATATTTTATTGCCTTGTTCCAGCAGTTTTCTTTATTCTTATTCACTGATTCTGAATGAAGACTTTCCTTTCTCTTCAATGAATTGTATTGGTAAAGTGATGAACGAAAACTGACATCATCTTCTCGGTACTACATGAGAAACTCATTTTCATTGATAATAAAGCTCAAATAAAGCACCACATCCAATCTCGACATTGCATGTAGCACCGCATTGCTCACAGCCCTGAGGTTGCACAATATTTCCGTAAACAACTGGGAAATGCAAAGAAGGTTGTTCGATTCGCAAAGATATATAACTACGAAAGTGAAAGAACACAAGACACAAGATAGAAAAATAGGAAATAAACACAATACTACGGGTTCTTCAAAGGAACTGAATAAAAGTTTATTCGAATGAGCTGAACAACACGATACACTTCAATAAACTGAACAGTACAATGCTCTGATAAAATAATCATAACTCTGAAATTAAAGTAGGGAATAATTCACTCTGACGGATATCAACAAGAACGATTCAAAACCGTCATTCGTTTAAGACAGTCAACAATGACCGATCGATTTCATGAAAACATTGATTCTGTTAGTCAGCATTGAATAGCCGTCCGATCACAATTTGTACCGATCTACGAAACGAGTGCTCCTCCATTCCTAGCTGCTCTCTTCTCTTTTTAAATTCTCATTCTTTGGCAGTTTCTCGATTCACTTAAGAACTACAACGTTTAATTGAGTGAAATACTGCCGGAACAACCCAAAAAAAGCTGAGATCTGGATGTTCGAGTAAAAGGGGTAATGTCCATGCACAATTTGTGTTTGGTTGACTTGATCTTCATTAATATTTTCAGCAGTTAAATAACCTTATATTCATTTATAC